TGAGCCCCCCCCGGGGGGGGGGGGGGTAATTGCTGCCCTCATCAGCCCAAGCTGGGAACACTGAAGCACCCACCCTGCAGCTCAGCTCCCCTCCCTCCTGCTACGAGCCAGTCAACCCTAATGAAAACCTTTTCTTTCCTCCCCCCAGGCTCCAGAGCACCTTATAGGAGTTGCCATGGCTGGTGCTGGTGAGAATTTAGATCCTGAAGCCTTTTCCTCTATACTCCCAGAACTGCAGGAGGAACTGAAGGCTGCACTACAGGGAGGAGACCTTGTGGCAGCAGCCTCGAAAGCCCAAGAGGTTCTGTGCAGTGTGGACAAGGTGGTTCTCAACATTGCCATCACAGGGATCACAGGCTCTGGCAAGTCATCCTTTGTCAATGCCATGCGTGGTGTGGAGGATGGAGATAAGGACGCAGCTGCCATAGGAGTGACAGAAACAACATCTAAGCCTGCTTGTTTCCCACACCCTCAATATCCCAATGTCATCTTCTGGGACCTGCCGGGAATTGGGACACAAACATTTCAGGCAGACGCATACCTCCAACAGATGTTGTTCGATCGCTATGATTTTTTCATCATCATTTCCGGCCCGCGCTTCAGAGAGAATGACATCAAACTGGCCCGTGAGATCCAGAGACTGGGGAAGTGCTTTTACTTTGTGCGCTCCAAGGTGGATCAGGATTTGTGCAGTGAGCAGAGACTGTACGATCAGTCTGGATGTCTGAAGAAACCTTGTGCTTCACGCCCACCACAGTACGATGAGGCTGATATCCTGAACAAAATCCGAGAAGATTGCATGGGAAACCTGCAGAAAGGAAGGGTGGATTTCCAACAGGTTTTTCTTGTCTCAAACTGGTACACTAGCAAGTATGATTTTCCCAGGCTGCAAGAGACTCTTGCGCATGAGCTCCCCAGTCACAAGCGATTAGCTTTTCTCCGCTCCCTGCCCAACCTCTCTAAAGAAACCGTGGAGGAGAAGAAGACATGCTTGATGACACAGGTATGGCTGAAGAGTTTAGCTTCCTTAGGAGCTGGTGCACTTCCTGTGCCAGGCTTTTCTACTGTCTGTGATGTAGTTCTCCTGGTGTCAACCCTGAAACAGTACTGCCAGGACTTTGGCCTGGATAAAGAGTCCCTTGACAAGATTGCTAGCCTCGCAAACAAGCCTGTCAAAGAGCTGACAGATGTGATAAAGTCCCCCCTGGCCCATGAAATCACAAAAGATCTCGTCATTAAGCTCCTGTCCAAGACAGTAGGTGGGGGAGTGAAATACACTTTGTTTTTCAAGAATATCCTCCCCTTGGTGGGTCCCGTGATAGGTTCTGTGGTATCAGGCACCATTTCTTACATTGCCACATACACCTTACTGAAGGGTTTCCTGAATGCTGTTGCTGACGATGCCCTGAGTGTGCTGGAAAAGGCTTTGGGGTGATAAGCCTGTAAATCAGCAAAAGGCCAGCGCTGGCTCTGTGAGAGGGATGCAACAAAGTGAAAACCCCTTGGCACTTTCTCCCCTGCCACCCCATTCCTGGGAGAGCTGCCAGCAGCCAGCCATGTACTTCTTGTGCCCTGGGCTGTGACAGCAATCCCAGCAGGCGTCTCGTTTCCTTGAGCAGCTTTCCTCCTCCGTGCTGGGCTTGCTTTGCTTCTGGACTTGACACCAAGCAAGGCCAATGGTGGAGCCTGAGGGAGTCACGGGGTGATCGGAGACTCCCGCACATCACCGTGAGCTTGGCCATCTCTGCCATGGGGCCATCACCTCGGCATGAGCCTTTGCTTCTCTTAATAATCATTCAGGTTTGTATCCAGCTTTCAGGATTCCTAGGCTCTGATATTGCCTCCTTGCAGGTCCCAGCCTGGGCCCTTCTTTTCTTACCGAAACTACATCATACTTTAATTGCAGTGACCTGCATTTAGTTTGCATCAGCAGCCCATGTCCAGTAGTCACTGCTTGGAAGGCGGTGTGGTTTGGGCCCAGAGACACTTTGGACTTGTCCTAAGGGGAGCTCTTCTCAACAAGCGTCTTTCTCCGGTTCCTCCCGAGACAGCAGGTGCCTGCATCTGCAGAACAGGGCTCTCAAACTGAAGGCCTATGGGCCAGATCCACCCATAGGGCTGCGAGAGGGGCAGGGTGCATGGGGGCAGGCCTGCCACTGCAATCCAGGGACCTGAGCCTCAGGTGTCACCTGGCTGCGTGAAACCCACGGCTGCCTCCACCACTCACCTCACCAGTGCTGCCTCGCCGATCCGGCCCTTGCTGATCTGGCCCTTGAGGAGCCCCAGTGTCCAGATGCAGCCTAGGCAGAGAGTCAGTCTGACACTCCTGCTGGACAGCTTTTGAGGAGAAAATGAGGCAGGGAGTGCAGTGAGGCTGCCCCGGGAACACACGGGGGAGTGTCCGTTAACCTCAGGGAAAGACCACCTGGGCACCCCCTGCTCCCCCACATCTGCCTCTGCTTGGAGATGGAAGAGAGCAAAACCCCACGCCTGGGGTGGGAGCTTCCGTACGTCTTCAGATGCTTTGGAGGAATAATTTAGGCCGTGTTAGCATGTGTGAAGTTAACCAGTAAATCACCTGCTAGTGGTTGTGAAGAGTCCAGGATTGCTTTCTTGCTGTTCCAGGTATTAGAATGCATGAGTATTTTACCATTTGCGGCTGTAATAATCACATCGTGGTTAGACATGGCTTATCTTGCTCTGTATTTACTGTCTGTATTCTCAAATGAAGATTTACATTAAAGTTTCCTTATAACCATTCCTGTAGAGTACTGGGGTTCATTGGGACAAGCTTCCTGAGCCTGCTTTGGGTTGGTCATGTCACCACGGGCACAACAGGTCAGTGCTTGGTCCTTCAAGCAGAGAACATGGTGGGAAACCTGCCTGGTCCCTGGCTAAAAACACCTGGCAGAGCCATGAGGGGCACTTGTTCCCCTCCTAAATCAAAAGGCAAATAGCAGCAGCGCACACACACTCCTCCTTCCAGCACAAACCTCCTGCCTTGCTCCTTTTCCCTTCCATTACTAGCCCACCCCATAGCAACCTCTACCTCTCCTGTGCCTATCCCTTAAGCACTCCCTTGGGATAAACCAGACTCACCTAGGCAGCAGAAACCTTGAATTCTCCATCTGCCCAGTACTTTTCTAAGCCAGATCTAGCCTGCCAGGCCACAAGTGTGTGGGTCTCGTCAGGTCCCAAACACTCCAGGGCCAGCTTACAACAAGCCTGGGATCAGAGCCATGGGACTGGAGTCCCACTGTGGGTACAGGTGTCCAGAAATGAGGAGTCAGCTCCAAGCTTTGAGGCCTTGTTTTTAAGAACTGGCCCCATGTGCAGTGCCCTGGCTGGCCCCAAAGTGCAACCATCTGGTGCTGCATGGGAGGAAAGAGCCCTGTGCCTTCCTCCAGCTGTTTATGGGGTGTCACCGCTGCTTACTACCATCCCAGCCTCCAAGCCAGGATGAAATATTTCCAGTTCACAACTGGTCGCCCGCGTCCCCAAGCACAGATGACAGCCATTTAACCTGACCCACAAAAGCAACACCAGACTGAGCTTCCCAAACCTGGTCTCCCCAAGCCAGGCTGGATACAGGTGACTATTTGCAAAGCCGGTGGCAAACTTATCGCGGTGTGCTGCTGTAGGCAACTGTTTTTGGGTGCAGAGACTTTGGGCTAAGCAGGCCATTCACTGCCTGGCATAGTCCCACAGGTCGGCACTGGTCAGACACTATGGCAGGGGAGAGGAAATAGCATGTCACAAATATCACCGGCCTGATACCAGTGCACAGCCCCGGGCCTGGCCCCTCCATGAGTCCCACACGGCCTCCATTTGATTCCCCCCAGCATGCTCTGTCTCCTCCGTGCTGTACCTGCACCCGCCCAGCCCTCTGTTTTATATCGCTGCCGCCACCACAGCCTGCTCCCAGTCCTGCCCAGACCCCCGAGCCCTCCGGCTGGAGCCTCATCCCCTTTGTTTCCCCCAACACCTCCGCCTGACCCCTCAGTCCCTTTGTGTCACCCTGAAGCACCCCTGGGCTGGCCCTCCACGGCCCCTTATATCCCTCCGCAGCCCCTCACCTGGGCTCTTTCTGTCCTCTACATTTTCATCACAGCCCTGAGGCTATGGCCTTGCCAGCCACACATCTCATCTTCCAACAATGCCACAGGCCTTCTGCTCTCTCCATGGCACCCACAGCCTCTGTCCCTCACACTTCCGCCATGTCCCTTTGTGGCACTGTGGCTCAGCCAGATCCCTCCTGCCCAGCAGCTTGTCCTTGTCCTGGCTGTGGGAACACCCAGCAGCTCAGCGTGACCGCAGCCTCCATGCCCCACCACCTGCCATCCCCAGCCTGGCCTCCCAGCCCTTTCATTTTGAGCCCCAGCACCCCCCTGATGGCTCCATTACTTATGGGAGCCTTACAAAAAAGGCATTTGCCAGGGCTACTGTGCAGCAGCTGGACTTACTGCACATTTAGTTTAATACTTTATTAAACAAGTACTAAAGTAAATGTGTAGCAACTACTGTGCATTATATTATTTTTTGCAAAAAATATTTCTATAAATAAATAAATATATATTTAATACATACTAATATTAAATATTCTATATATATTGAATATATATAACTACTGTGCATTAATGAATGTGTAGACACACCCGGTGAGAATTAAAACCCTGGCTTTTGTCCTGCAGGGGTCAGCACAGCTCTCCAGCATCACAGCCAAGTGCCCTGGCACTGCATCATCATTTCCCCTGTCCCGGGTGAATGGTGGGGCTCTGCCAGGTGCCCCAGGGAGAGCCTAATTTAGTACATGTACTTGCATATATGGACCAGAGAGGCAGGAGGAAGAACTACCTGCACCAGTTTCGCCAGTGCCCGGCTAGCTCAGTCGGTAGAGCATGGGACTCTTAATCCCAGGGTCGTGGGTTCGAGCCCCACGTTGGGCGATTACTTTTGTTCTCTTTTCCCCCCTCCCCTTTCCTTAATCCATTTTGTAACCCAGTGAATCACGCCC